ATGACCTCATCCCAATACAAACAAACATCCTCCTGCTCCATGCACTGAACATTCTTTACTAACAACAGCTTAAGACATCTTGTGATTCTCATACCTCTACGAAGCACCATATAACCTTTGTCAAAATTTTCCTTCACTCGTACCATCCTCCGCTCAATTTCCGCAACCAGAACTGATTCGCCAGCATGTCTCAAACCGGAACCAGCATAGCACATAACCGTGCAATCCGCTAATCAATAGTAACCTCCCCAACTTGGCTCGAAGCCATAGATCAAAACGCACAATAACTCATAACGCATATACTCCATTGCTGCCTTAATACCATAGTGAGATTAAACTCAATCCTTCATAAGCTTGTGGAATCACAAATCATCTAGAATTTCTTTAACACATTCACTCACACAACAGTTAAGCCCACTCTCTAGGCGATCCAACTTAGATTTCAACATATTTTTTTTCTTCACTTGTAAATGAGGTCTTCTAATAGATAACATAAGGATCACACAACTTTAGAACACTCCGCAGGAGATGACCTACCTGCTTTGCCTCCAACTAACATTTCTGTATACCTTCCACCGTCATACACATTACACAGTTACTTAGCCTTCCTGAGTCTGAACTCGTACCGCAACATAAAATTTACTTCACTCTCAACTGGAAAACATAAAAAGGTTCTTCACGCGCCCATAACTCGAGGCCACACATCCAATCACAATGGAAATCAAACACTTGATGGTTCATATATCATCCAGAAACCTTCCTCGTCACTTCCAAGTCATATAGATACATCTCGCAGCACTAACATACTCATCACATAATTATCCAGCCGTCACTCCCACTAATAGGGCCCATACCGAACATGTAAGTTCAAACACTTGCTCACACAATCAGCACCTCAGCGCTCAAGCCATAGGCAAAGATCCGGCCTCAAGTCCTCCAGACTAGCCCGACATAAACTCACAGAGATTGCATCTCGCCCCTCGACCGGGGAATCACAAACCATCAAGGCACATATGATACTGAGCGCTCATGCGCGCATACGAACACGTGGAAGGAATTTCAAGAGTTACTTTTCTAGCTGAATCAAAGAACGCACGATAAGAATTCAAGAATGCGAAGTTTTCCTAAAGGTTCTACAGCCTCTCGAGGATAAGTACAGACGTCTCCGTACCGATCCACGAGACTCTACTAAACCGGCTCATGACTCGCGAAACCAAGTAACCTAGGCTCTGATACCAACTTGTCACGACCCCAACCCCGGTCGTGATGGCGCCCAACACACTGCTAGGCAAGCCCGACCAATTTAATAACCTTAACCATTTTTATCCAGTTCATGAATTAATTAACGTAGATAAATTACTAAGTCATAATACTGAAATTCTAAAATGGAGTTAAAACATGCGGAAATCCCAAATATCAATACTACTACACAGCCCGAAGAATCCGGTGTCACGAGTCTGAGCCTCTAATACATGAGTATCAACCTACTATATATCGTTCTAAAGAAATGCGGAAATAAAGCAATAAGATAGAAGGGAAGATCAGGACTGCGGATGTCATGCAGCTACCTTGATACTCCCGAATATGCTACTCGGCAGAGAAGTCCACACTCAGCCTCAGATGTACCTGGATCTGCACGCAAGGTGCAGGGAGTAATGTGAGTACTCCGACCCAGTGAGTAATATACATAAATAAAGGCTGAGAATAAGAAATCTTGAATAGGCACAAAGTAATTCTATAAATACAGCAATTTAAACCAAGTAGTAATAAGTCAGTAAACTAATAAAACAATTATGAAAATACTACAATAGATAAGTAGTAAATGACAGTCAAATATGAAATGCAACACATAGTCCGGTACTCTCTAGTACCCGCTGCGGCGTACAGCCCGCTCCATTTATTTATCGTCGACGGCGCTCACAGGGGGTGTGCAGACTCCGGGAGGGGCCCCTTACGGCCCAAGCGCAATAATAAGCCATCTCGTGGCATAAACTAGGCCCTTCATATCAATATCAATACAATACCGCTGCGACGCGTAGCCCGATCCCATACTCAGTCTAGAATCACATAAGCCCCTCGGGCACAGTAATATAGAAATATTCAGCCCAGACTTCATTAAAAATATTAATTAAGTTTCAAGTTTGAGAAAAGGTGGTTGAGTTTGCAAAAATAGTATTAATTACTGGAACTGAGTTCAATAGTATGTAAAAATGATAAGAAACCAGTAATAGCAATCGCTGAAGGATTCAATCAGTTAGGACGAAGCCCAAATATAGCAATCAGCTCAACTTATAATGATAATAAGTAAATTTCAGTCAAATACGCAGTATATTCATCTACCGGAACGGACCGAGTCACAATCCCCAACGGTGCTCTACCCCACGCTCGCTATCCGGCGTGCAAGTCACCTCAATATAGCACTACGATGTGCAAACCCGGGGTTTCAAACCCTCAGGACATCATTTACATCTATTACTCACCTCGAACCGGCTACTTCTTTAGCTCGCGACGCCTTTGCCTCTCGAATCGGCCTCCACGCGCGTCGAATCTAACCAAAATCAGAACGAATACGTCAGAATATGCTAAGGAAACAATACCCAATCGAAAACAATCGAAAAATATCAAAATTTCGAAATTAGCAAAAACCCGAGCCCCGGGCCCACTTCTCGAATCTCAGAAATTTTTACACCAACGGGTTCCTTATCTCGCCACGAGTCCATAGCTATAAGGAACTCTCAAATCCGAGCTCAAATGACCCATCAAATCCCAATTTAAAATTTAGAAATCCAAGCCCTAGTTCTTCCAATTTTTGCCAAGTTTCCATGAATTCCAAGGTTAATTTCACAATATAATCGTGTTTTTAGTTCGTAGGACTCACCTCCAATCAATCCCATTCGAAACCCTCTTCAATTCCTCCCAAAAAGCTCTCAAGGTGCTCAATAATGGAGGAAAATAACTTAGGCTCGCGGATGAAATATCATTAAAAACCCTTCTGCCAGCTGACATTTTACTCTATGCGAACGCGAGGGCCCACTCGCGTTCGCGATGAACAAACTTTTCCACTGACCAATTTACCCTTCGCGAATGCGGTATCCCACACGCGAACGCGAAGCCCTGGGTCCCTAAACCTACGCGAACGCGTCCCTCAACCGCGAACGCGAAGAACAACTCACCACTGGACCTCAGCCCTTATACGCGAACGTGAAGACCTTCACGCGAACGCGATGCCTGATCTCCTAACCTTCCGCGATCGCGAGGCCTCAAACGCGAACCGAAGGCCTAAATTCCTGGCCCTCAAATTCCTTCTACGCGTTCGCGACTCACCCTACGCGAACGCGAAGGGTTAAACCTCTGCAACACTGAACTGAAAAACCTGCAACTCCCAAATGCCAAAATTGGTCCGATTGACCATCCGGAACTCACCCGAGGCCCCCGGGACCTCAACCGAAAGCACCAACATATGCTAAAACATCACCCAAACTTGTTCCAATCCTCAAAACACCTCAAATAATACCAAAACCATCAATTCACATCGGATTCAAGCCTAAGTTCTTCTAAAACATCCGAAACACGCATTTGATCAAAAACCCAACCAAAACACCTCCGAATGACCTGAAATTTTACACACACAACCCAAATCACCTAATGAAGCTACAGAAACTCTCGGAATTCCATTCCGACCCTCGGATCAAAATCTCACCTATCAACCGGAATTCGCCAAAATACTAACTTCGCCAATTCAAGCCTAATTCTACATCGGACCTCCAAAATTACTTCCGATCACACTCCTAAGTCACAAATCATCCCCCGAAGCTAACCGAATCATCGGAATTCATATCCGAGCCCTCTAACACAATAGTGAACACCCGGTTGACTTTTCCAAACTAAACCTTCCTTAAAGAGACTAAGTGTCTCATTTCTTGCCAAAACTTCTCCAAACCAACTCGATCACACAAGACACGGATAACGAAGCATAAAGAAGCAGAAAATGGGGGAAACGGCGCGGTAACTCATGAGACGACGGGTCGGGTTGTCACAGTATAGGCCGAGCTGGCCGCTATATGATGTAATTTGCTTCTTTGGTGACTAATAATATTGTGAATTACCAACAAAAAAAAAAGATCAGAACACTCGTTAGTGTGCGACCCCATATGTTCAATACTAATCCGGTGGTAAATTGATCATATCAATATATCAATCAAGGGTGGTGTCTAGCAACACTCCTTAACGACCGGATAACGTGAAGTATACAATTTACTCTCAAGAACCAGTAGAAGAATAATATAGTAATTCCTTCTGTCCTTATAGCTCTGGGTCACCTTAGGATATGGTTCAACTGTCAAATCCTAATAGGGGACCAACTATGTGTTAATGCCAAATGTAATCGACCATTGAATGACCTAAGAAACTCTTTTCTTCTTTCATTCAATTTTCCTGGCCAAGGTCTTAGTTTGGTCGTTTATAATTCATGACAACATGGAGCATAAGCTCATTACCAAGAGTTGACAGATTCCATCTTGATCAATCACTAATTCTACAAGTATTTAATCGTACTCAATATCCTTTCAACTATCGCCCTAGGGCCATAGGTATCTAGTATCAAAGCACAATAAATAACTTGTTAATTACTATATTACGATCTCAGGTCAAAGGAAATTTTACATCACATTCTTCAAGAGAATATCATATTGACAGTTTATGGTAATTCTAACCATTAAAAATTATCCAATGAGTCGGTACAATGATCATATCTCTATATGCATCATCTATCTATGTGATTTAGTTAATAAGATCAACTAATCTTTATCCCATAAAGACAATCGCATAAATATCGATCTAACCGGATTACTAATGTCCAAATTAATAATCCTATGATCAAGAACAAATTTAGATTAAATTATAAGAAACTTCACTCTCATTATCATGATCTCCACCACAATGTCAAGTCTCAAAATTTAATCAAGGGCCTTATCAAATTAATCAAGCAATTAATAACAATATAAAAGAATATCAAATGCCATATATATTTTATATCAAATAACGTTCACAAAAATATATTCAAATCATCAAATATGAGACTGGATCTAGGGCATATCTACTATATCCCTAACAAGATCCGCCTCCGTCAACAGTTTGCCAACCTTGCGGGTGCATGCCATCCTAATCTGTCAATGTGGATCCACCACTGCTTGCATGTTTATTCAAAAGAAAGTGAATCTCTATAGAGAGAAAAACACTTATATATTAAATTAGTAAAGCAACTTGACCATGCTTGCTTTCCCTTTTTAATTTAGACAGTTTCCTCAGACATACTTTTCTTGTAACCATGGATTTTCTTCTCAATGTCTCTGAGGACTTCACACATTGAATTGTGAGATGAGCCTCCAACGCTCTTAGCTTTTGCTGCACTCATCTTAAGTTTCTTCACATTTTCCTTCAAGTCCTTTCCTTCTTCATATTGCATTACCAATCTCACCAATTTCTCTATTTCCTCCCTTTCCACTACTTTCTTTGTTGGCAACACCTTTGGCTTGACAGCCACACCAAGTTCCTCCGTCATCATGGTGGCATTTTGTCTTTGTTCAGCGTACAACGGCCATGCAATTATTGGCACACCATTTGTTATACTCTCAATACAAGAATTCCATCCGCAGTGTGACAAAAAGCCCCCAACTGACGGGTGGCTCAAAATTCTTGCTTGATCACTCCACATCTGAATAACCAATCCAAAATCTTTCGTTCGAGTTAGAAAACCTTCTGGCAAGTACTCAGGAGTGCCATCACCATGTTCCTTGTCTACGGCGAGGTAGTCTACAACAACCTCTGACGGTGGTCTCACTATCCAAACGAACTTCTGCTCACTTAACTCCAACCCAAAAGCTAGCTCAGTTAACTGTTCTAATGAGAGGGCCCCACCACTCCCGAAAGATATGTATAACACTGATTGGGGAGTTTGTTCATCCAGCCAATTGAGGACAAAGTTCCTATCACCACCACTCTCATTTATGATTTCTTGGTCCTGTGATCTTGTAATCAACGGTCCAATTGGATAAATGGGTGAATTATTCAGGAGCGCTTTCAATATTTCATTTTCTCGAAGCGCTTTGAGTGAGCCGGTCTCAGCATCTTCCCAAGTGTTCATCAAGATTCCATCAGACAAACCGAACCCGGCCCCATGTACCTTCAAGTACTCGCGATACTGCTCATCGTTCCGGTCCAGCATAGGATCAACAACGTCTTCCGGATGAATCGGTTTGCAACCCGGGATTTGCAACGGTTCGTCTTGATCAACATATTCACCCTCAATTTCTTTGTCAAGAACAGGACAATATATAGTCAAAGCTGTAAACCATGCATTCGTAGGAATAAATAAATAGTTGGGTAACCCAAATTCTTTGGCGATTGGCAAGGCTTCAGGGCAAAAAACATCAACGATGAGAGCGTCCAGAATATGCTTCTCCGTAGATATTACAGACTTAACAACAGGTAACGTTTCGCGTACAAGTATGCAAAGTAGGGCAATCATTTTTGTGTTGGCATCGACGAGGTTCGAGATATCTACAGCTGGTATTTCAATTATATTAATCGACTTTGAATTTCTGGCGGATGTAAGGATCTCTGTTTCCGCCGCAGAGCTGCCGAAGGTGATAGCGAAAACGGTGACTGAGACGTTATGGTGAGTGGCAAGGCGGTTGCTGAGGGCTAGTGCTGGGATAATATGGCCCAAGCCTGGACTTGAGAGAATACCAACACGAAGCTGTTGTGAGGTAGAAGACACAGTCATGACAAAATATTTGGGATTTTTGGGTGAAAACTAAAGAGCTGGTGATAAGGTAATAGTGGTGAGAGTGAAATGAGATTAGCTGTATAAGTAGCGAATAAACAAACTCTCAATTTAGCCTGTATACAAAAACATCAGACAAGGTAATGAAAATGAGTACACAAGGATTAGTTGATTGTCTCGATTCATATATTTCTTATAATCGTGCACTCCTACAATCTATGATTAAGACTCAGACTAATTTGTTAGGGGAAATATTTTAATGCAGTGTGTAATAAACAATTCATCAACCTGCTAAAAAATAATGAAAGACCAAGACTAATTCAATTCATCAACCTGTTAAAGTAGTAAGGGAATATGAACAATTTGTCAACCAACTAAAAGATAAATAAAGAATAAGACAAAGTAGTAAGGTGGATATATATTGACGCAGACGGCAATAAACAGTAATTCGTGAACCTGCTAAAAGATAATGAAAGACCAAGACTAATTAAAATAATCAGGGAATAGCGTACGTGATCATCAGCCTGCTAAAAGTGCTCCAATAAAAGACTAAGACAAAGCAGTTGACTTTGGGGGATAAATTAAAATTGTAGCATAGTAGTATTTTTTAACTCCTAACTTGAATAATAAATTAAAATTGTAGCATAAATTAAAATTTCGTACGCATTGCATAGAGACATCATGAAATTATGGTTTTGATTTTCAGGAATTGTAATAATTTACCTAATTTTACATTTACTTATGGGGTTTAATTTAGCTAAGTGAAAAATTCTTCTGTTTTTCTTATTCTGAATTAGTGTAGTTCCTTTATGGAAGATGTTATTTTACTTATGCAACTTTAATAGAGAGGGTGTGATTGTCTAAATAAAAAATATTACTCTGTCAAATTTACATGTGGAAATTTATTTTTAAGATATAGGAAACGATGTCATCCCCCCCCCCCCCCCCCCCACCCTCCCCATGAAAAAATGCCGTTTGTACTATTGTCGTTAATAATAGAGATGTGATTCCTTGTTGGAAATATTGATTTCATTTGTTTTTTAATATAAAAGAAGTAATTTTCATAAAACCTATTAAATAATTGACCATGACTAAAGCCTAAATTCTCTATTAAGATCATCACCCCCATGACATGAGTTTTGGGGGGGGGGGGGGGTGATGGAGCTGGCATGTTCTCTTCAACCTAACTGGAAATATGGTGGTATTTACTTCAGGATGTAGGATGACTCAGTCAACCTGTAAATTGCTCCATCTTTAGGGTGATTCATGTTCTTGGGATATATTCCAACCTAGGATTTAAAGTTTATAGGTTCCTATCGTAATTTTAAATTAACATACAATAATAACTTGATTCACCAAATATTTAGTGGATTTTTTAATAGAAAAACAACGCCTATACAAAAATTACTGGATTCCCGGTAACCCATTAACAACACACTAGATCCGCCACTGGCTGGAGTACCATACGGTGGCAAAACGGTCTCTAGAAAATTCTAAAAATAAGTGCAACCTACAAAAAGTTAATTTAATAAATGCAAGTTCTTTTAGATGTGAAAAATAAAGAATTTTTAACTGGTTGCATCATTTAAAAGGTCAGAAGCAAGAAATAATCAAAGAAAAAAGTAAAGAAACAATTACAGTTCATGATAGACTACTGCAAGTTCATCCTAAAAGGTTTATAAATTATGACATTTGAAAAACAACGAGATACTCACAAAAAAACTTCACAAAGTTTGAAATATTTTACCTAATATATGGTGTTTCTTGAGCTTGTTTTGGTCTTCACTCCTCTTCATGCCAGCTACAAGTAACTACCCATCTCTCTTTATCTCTATATATATAGTCCTACTTTATTATGCTTGTCACTATATGTATGTAGTTTCACACGTGACTCTGTACACATTTCTATATGCATTGATATACACGTGTTTCCAACATGTTCATTGAACCTGCATTTTCCGTGCTATACCAATCATAACTTGATTTTGTCGGTGGTGGCATGAACCTGACAGGTAGGCATGATGGCAGGCTTACAGCAACAGAGGCATGCTCTGATGAAAATGATTACCAGCACAAGCTGCTGCAACAGGCATGGCATTGGGGCAGTGTGCGTGGCACACCTGGCAGCTGGACTGGCTGCATGTGAGACAGCTGGCACATGCAGAAATACTCTTTGTAAATGTATTATACCTGCTGAGGCAGAACTTGTATAAATATAGGATGTTGTAAAGAGCTTTCCTACCTCGTGATTCTTTGTATTTATCTGATAGATAAATAAAAGTTGGGCTTGTTGCCTGTAAACATTGTGTGCCTGTTTCCCTCGTTTAATTCTGTCTTTGCACCTAAGTATCAAAACAGGTGTTCTTGTGGGCTGAAGTTAGCTGCGAGCTGACTGCCATACAGTGGTGCCAGCAACGAGATTACTAATATGTTTGGTCAAGCTTCTTTTTAATCAAAAGTATTTTTTTGGATTAAAAGTGCTTTTTTTTTTTCCTTCCAAAGTTAAAATGTTTCACCAAAAGTACTTTATTGAATAACCTTTTCAAAGTAAGCTGATTTTAAAAGCTTGTCTATTTCCACTACATGTGGTCCTTATAGTCCGGAAGATTATGATTGCAGCAGTGGTTGACAATGACGGAGATATGTACTCAAGGGGTGTCACCTATACTCTTTCGTCAAAAAATTATACCGTAACTAGTTAACTTTTCTTAATATATATATATATTGACACCTCTTGACTTCATCGTGTATTTTTTTATTTTTTTTATTTTTTTATTTTGACCTTACTTTGTGATAACAAGAAGCTTAATTTTTACCCATTATAGTTAGGAGTTAGCACTACGACTCGAAGAATAATTGATGTATATTTTGTTTTAGAGTGGTTGCTGAAGTAGGGACTTGTTGTCCAACTGTCGTTTCTTTTTCATCTATTTTATGGGATGTCCCTGAAGGAACGTTTATTTTTCATCTATACACACTTCATTTGGTAAATCAAATCTGTACCTACCAAAACAAAATATTTTCTTGTCTTTCATGCTTCATAAGAATTTAAGTGCTCAACATGTGCCCTATGAATATAATTACTTAACTGTAGAATTCTCTACCGATTCAGTTGAATATTAATTAAAGTTTACCCTATTTGTTTTTGTTTTTTTAAATAAGAAAATGGTGAAAATCATTTACATCCTCCAAGTTTACTCTAAAAATCAAATTCATCCTCCAACTTTGAACAATTGTCATTTTCTTCCTTTCATCCTACGCAATGTCTATTTTATCCTTGACATATTCAACTATCCATATATGTAATACCTTTTTTTAAATATTATTTAGATATTTTTTAATGCAGGTATTTATTCTAAGTTCACTAACATTATAAATAAAATAATAATTTGTTATAAAATGTATTGCTACTTTATTATTATTATTATTATTATTATTATTATTATTATTATTATTATTATTATTATTAATGCATATAATGTATATCGGTGTGTGTGTGATATTTTAGCTTCCACTGTTTTTGTTTGTATATAAATTTTTGTGTTTTGAATGTTATTACTAGATTTTTCTAAATTATAATTAAAGTTCGTGTAAAGTGTAAATAGATAATTTTTGTAAATTTATTATAAAATTGCCCTCTATTTTACGCCCATTATTTTAATTAAGTCCTTTATTTTAAAATATAGGAGTAGTTCAACTTTTCTCTCTTCGGGAACCCGTAGTGTATAATTTATAAAATCTTTACTCTCTTTTATTCTCAATTTTGTAAATAGATTTAGTTTTGATTGTTATTAATCAAATTACTGATACGGGTAAATTATTAATTGCAATTTTTTATTTTCATATTTATTTCACTTTTGAACATCATTAACTTATATGCTAACTAATACTTCTCACTTTTTTTGGTTTCGAAAAAAGTTTTTCTTTTTTAATTTGTCTATAGATAAATTAATAATAAAAATATATCATTAGAATAAAAATAAAAGATAAAATTTTTGTCTATAGATAAATCAATAATAAAAATATATCATTAGAATAAAAATAAAAGATAAAAATTATAGAGGGTAAAATAGGCATTTTAATAAGTCACCTTTGATATGAGGAGTAGAATGATAATTGTTCAAAATTGGAGGATGACTTTTATTTGTAAAGCAAATTTGGGGGATGTAAATGATTTTGAAAGAAAAAAAAAAAAAAAAAGAAGAAAGAAAAATCAGTTCCAATAATCCAAATAGTGAATCATCCCTGAAGACGTTCAAGAGAAAGAGAGAGCTACGTTTCATGGAATTGCACAATTTCCTCTGCATTTCCATTCCCTTCTCAATTTCTTAATTAGTCCAAAATTTTCACTCAAAGTGGATTCCCAGAAGAGAACCGACGTCGTTTTTGACGAAGAGCCAGAGCGTCACATGCTCGACGCCAAAGCACGTAAAGCCATGGCTGAAACCTTAGAAAGAGAGACCCAAGACCAAGAAGACCCGAAAGCTTGGAAATGGGTTATCCGAAAACGGATTTGGGACTTAATGAAAGCCCAAAATATAGCCCAATTCCTAAGGCCCGTTCATCACCGGATACCCAATTTTATTGGAGCTTCAATTGCGATACATCCCTCTTTATTCGTGTAATGCGATTCAACATTATTGTGCTTGTCAATATGTTTGTAGTTATACATGTGAATGTGTACAAATTTCAATATGCATTTGATATATAAATAAATGTGTGTTTCTATACATGAAGATTGAATGTGCTCTTTTTCATATTATGCTCTAACTTATTACTTTAAAATTATATTTTACCCTTTACCTTCTTTTTTTCTAACTCCAAATCTCCAGCTTTAACTTACTTTGTCTTTGGTTTTTTTTTTTTTTTTCTTCTGCTGCTTACTATTCCCAACTCCAACATCAAAGGTAGTAAGAATAGGTTTTGCCTTCTTTTTGTTTCGTTTACATCTTTTCTTTCTCCATATCCCAAAAAAAATCATATTTGTGATATATATTCTTATTGTAAAAGGTTCGCAGTTGTTGTTTCAGAATAAGCAGAAAGCAAAGATAGCTAAAGTTTAGCTGGATACCTAATTTGAAGATGGTTGTTTGATGCTCTTTTATTAAAATAAATATAGTGTTGAAGTACTTAGTCAGATGTAGCAAGGCAATGCATTAGTGAATTGGTAACGAAGACTCAACCCATTCTATTGATGGAAATGTGGATTTTCTTTTCTTGATTAGACTAATATTGCAACTCATGTTTAATGTCATCCAGATGATGCCATTAAGGCACAATGAAGTTAGTAAGTCACACATCAATACTTTTAGGGGTCGTTTGGTTGGAATACGATTTATACCGGTATAAGTTATGCTGTATAAGTTATATTGAGATAAGTTATGCGGGGATTAGTTATGCTGAGATTGTTGTTTATTCATTGTTTGGTATGTTGTATTAAGAATGACAATTGCATAATTTTTAAGAAGAAGGTATAAGTTATACCGGTGCTAACTACCCCACCTTTTATAAGGTATAAGTTATCCCGGTGTTAAAATTAACACCGGAATAATTTATACCCGATTTGCTAACCAAACAGAGTATTAAAATGGTATTAAATTTTTATACAACCCTTATACCTTCTTATACCTCATACCAAACGACCCCTTATAGTTTTATTGTTAAGATTGCTGACACTAGCAACTTGTCTCTGTATACATTTCTTTAGTTTCACACTTTGTTGGACTGTTGCCCGAATATTTTAAACGGTTCGACAAATTTTCTGATTTTGGTTTTTCTTGGCTTCTCCTACTGATGGTGATGTTACATGGTGACGCATAAAAGATTGAAGAAAGACTTGGTTAAATCTCTGAATTTTCTACTTTCTTCGCCATTCTTCAATGCTATTAGACAAATGTGTTTTTATCATTTTAATTAATTTTAACATGTGCAGTGAAGAAGCAGGGGAGCAAGGAGTGCTGAAGCGGAGGAATAAACAGGAAACTTTATTTAGTATCTCCCTCCAAAAATGTTAATCTGGGTGTTAGACTTTGTTGATCATGTGAATTTTTTATACTTCGTTTCAAGCAAAGAATTTTGTGTCAATTAAACTGTTTATTTTCATACCCACGGGTTTGATCTAACAGTGCCATGTATGTTAATAGCTTTTTTCAAGTGCAAGCTCTCTTTCATTATGAATCCTCTTTGCACTTCTACTTTGTCTGCCACACCTTTTCGAGCAGGCAAATTTGATAACTAATAGTGTTTGGTATTCATTTTATAATTTATATTTGCAGGCGAATAAGGTTTTGCTCTTCCATTTTCAAGGGTGTTTACCCTTAAAATCGGATAACAATTAAACTTATAAGTGTTTTTATAGATATGTAATTTCACCTAGCATCAATTGATAAATATGATGATTAATAGTAGGAATAAACAACAAAGTAAAGTAAATCATTATGGAAATGCAATTCATCCCTCGAGCTACGTCGCCCTCGAACTGAGTGAGTGAGACTAGAGTTATGAAACCAACTGACGAACAAGAGAGTATAAGAGAAAAGATTATTGTATTGCTTTGATATGAAACCAACTGACGGTATAATTCTAATTACAGAAGAAAATCCCATGATTAGCTAAACAACCGCCCTTGATTTGATCTGTTCCGAGATTTTTGCCGTTATCCTCGTCCAGTAACGGATATCTAGTCGTTCCGTTATTATGCTATCTTCGATTTTGCCCGATGTATAACCTGTTCGATCTCGATCATTACCGGTCTCGATCTCGACAGGTACCTCGTACCCCAAACTCGGTACCTTATCCTCGTATCTCGGTCTGTCAAGTCGTGGGGCTGATCC